GATTTATCGGAGTCGATTTATTTAATGAAAACAGAGATTATTCTCTCTTTATTATATGTATATATATATATATATATATATATATATATATATATATATATATATAGAAGTGTGTATGTATGTATGTATATATGTACGTATATATAAAAGAGGAATCATATGAATAAAATTGTATAAAACAGTAAAGTATACATATTTTTAGTTGCAGTCTACACCATGGATGGCTGCCATGGAAGGAGGAGGATCTATATCAATATCCACAATTATTCCACATGCAAACATAAGTACTGATAATAAATTAAACAAGCTTGATGAATCCAAAGCAAGAAAGAATATGCCTAAAGAGAAAAATGACAGTTCTTCAGTGGTCACAAGGAAGGAGAAGATAAAGCCGAGAAAAGGTGTAGATCAGAATATGGATCCACAGATGACAAATATATCACTTAATCAGACCACTTTAGAGAATACAAAACCTGTGATAGAAACTGTCTCCACTGAAACTGCTCATGTCAATAGTCAATTTGAAACTTCCACCATTGTTACTCTGAAATTAAATGTCACCAATTCGCATATCAATAACAGCTTAAATCGCAGTATGAATTCCAGTTATTTTACTACAAGTTTAATACCAACAAATATAACTACATTTCACATAGGGGCTGTAAATCATACAATAATGCCAAATTCCTCGCATATTGAGAAACACATACCGAAACCTAAACCGACAGTGACAACCGTTGACGGGCCGGAACCGAATGAATCTAGATTGCCCTTACGAACAAAAAACCCTCCACTGGGTATGCCGAGAAAAATCGACTATATCGTTCCGGTCATTATAACGATCATTGCTTTACCAATACTGGGTGCTGCTATTTTTGTATTGTACAGACGCGGTCGAGATTGCTGGGATAAGAGACACTACCGAAGGATGGATTTTCTGATTGATGGAATGTACAATGATTGAAAGTCGCGTATGAGAAAATGTTCATTTCACGCGAGTAAATGGGTGTGTAGTTATGCAACAGGAAATTCAATCATCAATTTCTATATTCTTCCATAAATGTAAATTTGTACATATTCTCTCAAAACAACCAAGTATGACACTTAGCATTGGTTCCTTCTTACATAATAATATCTAAAACGACAATATCTATTATTCGAATATATCAAAGGGTTTGACATTTTACTATGCACTTATCAATGTATAGGAAGATATATTATACTATTTATAATATTATAATGTCTGAACTCTAGCTGAACTTTAGCTACGCTAAAGTGTCCAAACTTGCTATATAGTTTCTTTATTATACTATTGCCTTAATAGTGAGATAATGAAAATTTTATAATTTATTACATGGTAATTGATATGTTGTTTATTTTTGAGATTATATATATAGAAAAACAAAGACATATTTTGTCAAAGACATCGAAACAATGACTTTAGAAGTACTTTTTATAGCATCTTTTAAAAAAATTTAACATAATTGTTTCAATTGCGAAATCTGACAATAATAATAGCAATCTTAATTTCTACAGAGCCATGAATTTTATAGGAATCTTGTGTCCTCGATTTGCAAGATAAAAAGATATTATGTTTTGAAAGTGCTCTCTCAATGAATAATATTCATGCCATTCTTTCCATAAGAGCCATTATTTGTAAGATATGTTTGACATATATATTTGAGATGCGATAATTTACACAAATTTTTACCAAAGAATTACTCAATTCGTGTAATATATCGTGTTTATTATTTGTATTTTTTATATTATATTTATAATGCAGCATTTTTCTTTGTGGGATGTTTTAAAAATCTCTAATCTGTTCAACTAGTGTAGGATATTTTATCCACAATTGTCACACACATAGAAAATAAAAGAAAACAGCATGAAATATTTGTCTTGCTATGTAAATATGATAAAAAATGATTTGCGGAATTATTCAATCTATGTAAGACTTTTTGAGATTGTGATTTTTGGAAATAAGATTGCATTTTTTAGACCTTTGAAATATATATTTTGTCAAATACATAAGGGAAAGCAATAAAATAATAATTATTTTTGTACTATGTAAAAAAAAAAAAAAAAATATTCATATTATAAAATATATATACTTGCAAGCTATATGTTGTTATATTGCTCATTAACCCATCAAAACAATATATATTGTAAGAATATTACAAAGATATAGAGAGAAAGAAAGGAAATGATATTTGTAAAGATTTTATTAATAAGCTTGTCATGATACATAAATTCAGTAATATTATTATACATATTAATTATGAGCCTTATATATGTATACTCGATGAGAATCACAATGCAGAAAGAGAACTTTACATATGTGTACACTTATTTGCACAGTTAGACATTAATCTCCAATTTGTTTCTTACTAATCTCTGTTAATTTAATGTGATTTCAAATTATCATTATTTTCCATTTTCTTCTGTACTTATTTGAAGTTTTAAGATTTTAGTAGAAATACTGCGATATATGAAACATTGTGAAATAAAATTGAAAATTGTTCAATAAAATTAGTGAAATAAGACAAATGTATATTTTCGTTTTTTATTCAATTCTAATAAATAGAGTTCTTTTTCGCAGGAAAAATACAGAATGTTATGTAAATATTTTATAACAAACACTCATTGTTAGATAAAAAATTATCAGTGTTAATATATATATTTATTTCTATATAATCATTAGAGTATATTTCAATTGTACTCCATGTAAGGAATCTAGATCGCTAAACATTTTGTTCCAACCATACAGGTTATACTTATTCTAAAGAAGTACAGTTGCTTAGATCTCGTCTTAAAGAGTAATTTCAAGACTGGCTAATATTTGTATTATGGAACTAAATATAAAAATAGCAATTATGTCCGAAATATTATTCATTCTGATGTTTCCACTGCAATGCCAATATGATTAAAAGTACTGCAAATATAATATCTTGATTTCAAATATTAATTGTAATGGAAATTTAAAAACAGTACTTTCATACAAAACAATGATGCAGATATTTTATTTTCATGTTTTTATTTAATTTTTTTTATCTTTAAAAAAGTAAATTGTTGTCTGTCTCCGATTAGGATTATTGAAGATGTGTTTTAAAAGTGTACATATGTGCATCTGATTTATCAATTCATTATATCATTCACTAAAATATCACGCTACTAGATATAATATAAGAATATATATAGTTGTGCATGAATGTACAGCTTAAATACACATCTTTTTTAACATTAATGCTAAAAATATTATAGAAAAGATGTACGAATATGGCGCCCAGGTTGAACTGAAAGAAAAATTTTAGTAATTATTGGGAATCCTCGTATTTGTCACGTGTGTATATAATTTTAAAAATATAATTACTAAATTTATAATATAAATTTTGCGTGAATAAATCTGAAAATTAAAAAATTTACTAAAAAAAGATGTCTATTAAAATTGAACCTAATAAATATTCAGATAATGGAAATTTCATTTTGTTGCTCCCAACGTAAATTAGAAGCGCTTTTGTGTTATCAATTTTTTTTCTATCGATATTTTAAAGATATAAATACATTTTTCATGTTTTATATTTTCATGAAACTTCTCACTACTTTCTCTATTCAGTCCAACCTTGACATTTATATATACAATCATTATCGCTATACAGATCAGCGGATAGCCGAGTTCCTCGAGCGACGCAGTCCAGCAAGAAACATACTACCTAATACATTGAATAAATCCTAAAAAGATCCGACATTTTGGCATAAAAATGAATAAATTGGAGAAAGCAATAAAAAGAATAATTGAAGAAGAAAATAGTATATCCAGATATTTAATATTAAAAGATATGGCACTTTTTTATTTTTAATAAAATGTACGAGAATATATGATATTACGAATATAAATGTGAATTCAAGTATTACAAACTCCTTTTATCGGAGAAAAATAACTTAGTAATATCGGTTAAAAGATTGATCAAGATCGTACATTTGTTGAAATTAATTTTACAGAAGAAGCTTTTTAGTTGTACCACTAGCTGGACGAGATCGATTATGTTCACGATCTGTCGTTCTCGAACCCGGTTACCGTTGCGAATATTGCACCCAGCACGCGGAAAATTCCTCTTTTTGAAAATTATCTGTAACTTTCAGAGCCGCCAAAAAATCCCTCTACTTTGACTTGTACTTTGCCTCATCTGGGAAAGCTTCCCTAGGCGGTATGAGACTAAGCATCATTATGTGACGCACATAATTTCGTGAATTGCGAAATTGCGTGTCGGTGCCGTGAATGCGATCCAAAACGCCGAGTACACCGTAGCATTGATTGAACCTGAAAATTCATTTAAACAGCAACTATAAATTTTGATTCTTCATACAAAACTTAAAACAAACGTTACGATATGCGACATGATATAGAATTTTGATAGAAATAGGTTTAAAAATAAAAGTAATTTTATATAAGAGAAGACACAGTGTTTCAGACTTATTGTTTGCTTATAAAGATTATATATATATAATAAAATGGTTTTTTTTTCGAAAATTAAAGCTAATATATATTTACAATTCCTATATATTAATGTATTATATCATTATCACTCAAAATCGTTCTTTTATATATTTTTAACCATATTTTACTGTATGAAATCAGTTTATTAAAGATTTTTATTATAGTAGATCGTTTTAATGTGAACTAAAATTACAAGAATTTTGATGAGATCCACATTACTTTAAGTGATGAAAATCGTGCGCCTCTGGAGAGGGGAAGAACGGTAAATGATAGCCAGAGTGTGCGTTTAACGTCGAAAGGATCGCGAGCGAGAACCAAATCCAGGCGGTAGCCACGTGGGAGCCCATGATGAATACACCCAAGAAAGGCGGAAGTAGATTCGAACCAATATTCTCCAGTGGATGGCAATACATAGCGGTGACGGCTATGGGCGCAGTCCATTCGTGATGCTGCTTATGTATATATTTGTACAAGGAGCGCTTATGGAGGAATCTGCAAAATAATTCAATAGCAGCAAATGATACTTGAAGAATATAAAATGTCTATGGCTATGTTTACATACTTAAATCAGTTCGCACAAATTTACATTCGTTAATAAATATCATTTTAATCGTTTTGCGTTTAGAATAGTTTAAATAAAAGAGCTAAAACTATATACATATGATGTAAGAAATCTGTTTCAATATGCTATTATGTTATTCACATATTTTATAAATTGTATTAATGTGATAAATTGTATTAAGAAAAAATATAAAGAAAAGCTAATGAAAAATATTTTTTCATTATGTAAAAATTCATCTGTGCATACAAAATATAAATTTGTCTATATAAAAATTATAGAACTAATCGTGATTTCTCTATATGTATATGTACAAGTCAAAAATATGCAATAATGATCTGTCGCCTTAATTTTTAACTGCATATCGTGCATAATATATTCTGTGTCACACTTCGCAGAAATACTCAATTGTTTGACTTACTCTTACAACAAAATTGTACAAACATTTATTTATAATTACATGAAGATAATCTGTTATTGTGGTAGATAATGGCAAAATGTATAAGTTTGTTCATTTTATCTGCTAAGCACATCTGTATCTCTCTTTACTCGATTTTATGTACACATATCATAAACTTTTTTTAGACGTGATGATTCGTGTCAATGTCGACGTTAATTGACGTTAGATGATGTTTATCATATATAAGTTTTTTAATTCTATACTTGATTCTACCTATTTCAATATTTTTTACGTGTTTGGCCAGACATTACTTCCAATAATAATCGACAAAATTGACGTTCCGAGAATAAATTTCTTTTCATAATATTTATCGAAGTCAATATAGAGTATTAATTTTTTTGATTTTTAGATAGAAAATACCTGTGTGAATAATAAAAGCCAATCTCTTCGCATAATATGTGAATCGCAATCTCGGTGAGTACCCAGTGGAAAGTCGGCAGCTCGCGTACCGGGGGATAACCGCGCCATTCCATGAAATAATAGCCGAGATACATAATGGGAAAGCCGACGACGATCTGATTGAACAGTACTTGAGCAATCACTTTGCATAACTCCCTCTTGTCCACTGGTTCATTCGTACCGGGCTGTATTTTGTATCTACGCAGCGCCGCTGGTCGATTGGTGATATCTAGGATGGTGTAAATTCCTCCGACCACCCAATAAACCACGATCATCAAAGATAAGGATCCTACAATACAGTAATAAGACATGATAAATAACATTCAACGTTCAGCGAGTTCACGCGATATTCATGATTACATAAATTTATTAACTAGGATGTGTGAAACAGCAGATGGTGCAGTTAAGATAGAAGATGTAGCAAATATTATAAATATATACACGACGTCATTATAAAATTTCCAATATTGATATTAATGACAAAAACCGTTATTGGTTAAAGTTTCCGATTAGAAAATGCCAAAAATTAATCGAGAAATCTGTTATTAAAATTAACAATGTATTCTGATATAAATTATTTATTTATTTTTCTTAATTGTATAAAAAGCGCAACATGGATTTGTTACTATTTTCGAATTTCTAAAAAGTAATATCTTTTTGGAACTTACCGTAAACCCATAGTGTCACAGGATCATCTCCAAATTTATCCAAAATTTTGTCCCACTGAGCTTGCCAGAAGTCGCCAGATGCACCCCAGAATCTTTGTAAATGCCTGAAATTTTGTTTAGTTAACAAAATCTAAAGAAATTATGTAATAAATTATGAATTACGAATAACATAGTTGATAATTTATTTAATTCTGTACAAAAAGAGATAACCTTTTCACGCGAATTTTTTTATCCAGTCATAAAATATTATAAATAACATTTTATTAAGCAGGCGAGCAGTTAGTTTCTTATTTTTCTGCATGTTTTATTAGATTATGCGAGTTATCGATATTACATAACAAGCTTTAACTTGTTATTTTGCAATTTCTTTAATCGGATTGCGCGAATCGAAATGCGATCGTTTTCAAAATCGTAAAAATTCATGCTTATTAATATATCACTTTTTTTATATGTATGAGTGGTCAAATGAAAACATGAAATAGTGAGAGAGCAACAAGTGTTCAAGAAAAGAGAGAAAACAAATCTAATAAAATTTGGCTAATTAAAAATAAAAATTGAAAAAATAATGAGCTAAAAATATGAAAAGTTTGATAAAAATAAACTTTGTTTATTCCTAAGAAATTCCTAAAGTAAAACAAATATGATACAATGCAATTTGTATTAATTTGCAATTGCATGTACATTACCATGTCAGAGAATTGCAAAAGGCAGCAAATCCAATCACTACAGTTCCGATAACGAAGAGTACGCTTCTCAAACTCGAAAGAAGCGTCGGCGGAGTTTGATTTTTCGATGCATCGCCGATAGCGGAAGTTGCTGCAAATAGTGAATTAATTGTAAAAACGATTATCTTAGCTATTGGGACTATTAAAGCGATAAAACATAAAAATGTACAAATTATGACAAATTCTGAATAAATTTAGGATATTATATATTATATGTAGGGTGTCCCAGATCTGCATGTCCAAACTAAAGGGTAAATTTAGCACGCCAAAATAAGAAACTTTTCTTCTTGGCACTTTGGTTAAATTTTAAAAATAGCGCTTTCCCAAATCAAAATTTAATAAGAATGGGATGTTGCTATTTTTCCAAATTCAGGTATACTAAAGGCGTAAAATATCATTATTATCATTATTAAATATCAAATAATAAGAATTATGTTTTATAATCAAATTGTATAATCAAAACGTAATTCTTATCGTTTGCGTAATGATTTTTATGCCTTTAATACCTGAATTTGGTAAAAATGGCAACACCCCATTTTTATTAAATTTTGATTTGGGGAAGTGCTATTTTTAAGATATGACCAAAGTGCCAAATAGAAAAATTTCTTGTTTTGGCGTGCTAAATTCACCCTTTCAGTTTGGATATGCAGATCTGGGGCATCCTGTATATTATATTTCAGATTTTATATATATAACATACGTATGTAAATAGCTGCTTAATGATGTTAATATGTTTGCTAAAGTTTTTATTTAGAAGGAGGGATAGGACTAACTAACTTGAACGGAGGTACTGGATTTTTGAGTCGCGAAAAAGATAAACTTTTGGACTTTTCAATGCAATTTAAAGATTTATTTAAGAATTATTTAAGAATTTAAGAATTATTTTTCCTAACAAATCGCATATTTATCACAGTATACGTCCGTGTATTTTATTAGAGTGCTCATAATAACGCAATGAAAATGATGGAATTGCGCGAAATGACCGTTCAATGATTATTCCATTACATAAGACAAATCAGTATTCATCGGCAGTGTCCGACAAATGCTCGGCTTGGCAGCCAGGTGTATAGCAAAAGCGGAAATTTTCAATCGCCACTTCATATTCGTAAAATCCGTTTAACATCTTGTCAGATGTTTAACAACGACGTAAACGCGATTCAATTTTCAAAGAACGAGGCGAGCCTTGTTCATCGGCCAGATTATAAAGTCATTTCGAGACTGGCTCTCGTTATAATTCGCGATAAATGGAAGTTGATATAAAAAAAGCGTAAAAGTTTTACTCCCCATATAGCCAACAGATATTGCTCTCTTCAAAATATAATATCAAAAATTATACATACAATAGAAAATTAAAAGATTTTAGCAATTCAAATTTTATAGATACAAAAATAGACTATTTTCTAACAAGATTGTAATTATCAAGTTTAATCTTAAAATTATTAAAAAATTAAATTTTTAATTAAAAATTTGTAAACTGACGCTGTACTTTAAATCTTTATTAAAAAAAGATCGATATTAAACCGATTTAAAAAATTAGTAGAAGCAGTGGCGATAACGTTAAAATATATAGATATTCTCTCTCTCTCTCTCCCCTTCTCTACAGATAGATCTTTCTAGATTTTGTATAAAAAACTAATTCAGTCATAAACGAACAAGAAAACGTTTTCAATGACATAATATATTTACAGTAACTAATTCAAATTAATTGTTATGCGCGATTTTAGTATTGTATCTAATTGTACGCTATTGTGTCTATATTATAATATGTATGTATATGTATATATATATATTTTTTTAAAAAGTCTAATTACTTGATAATTATATATTTACGATTATCTTATTTTACATTCAATCAATTTATTCTTCGATAAAATATGAAAATTTTTGCACATTATGATTTTTCCAATAATTTGTTGAATCGGAGAATATATTTTATAGATAACATGATAATTGACAAATTGTGATTTTGTAAACAGAATGACGTAATTTCATTCTCATGAATTATGCCGTACAAGGCTTAAATGATTCCAACTGCGCTGATTTGGTTCTTTTGTGCTGCGCACTTTCTTTAATTCGCCCATTTATATTACTAGTTATGTAATTAGGTTCTATCTTACGAAACCTGCAAAATGCTATATTTAGTATTTAATATATATATAAGCTATGAATCAAAAAAGATCAAAATATACGAAGCAAATGTAATGGTACAACTTATCAATAAGCAGTTATTTCGATGCTGGTTTGATGATTGGTGGTGCTTCTCAACAAAACAACACATCGTATATTTATTGATAAGTGATATCGTTATATTTGACTCATGCAATGATCTCTTTGAGTACACAAGCACTTGCTATTCGTGTTATTCATATTTTAATACGTCTTAGTGTTATTTATTTATTTATTGTCTACATCGAATTTCGAAATACATATTAATCGAATCGAATCGCGAGAATCTGACTATGAATTTGGTCTTATATTAGACTTTAATAATGCCTAGCTTTTTCGCAGCAAAGATAAAATTAAAGTATTAATCAAAACGATAACGTATTTATGTAATAATTCAAAAATGATTGCACATAGCTATTCTGGAGACACTACATAATCTCTTTGCAATCAAGTCATGTGCGAGTCAAGATATTAGCATGACGATGTTATTTTGTGATCATTCTTTTTATTGAGCTTTATAAATCTTTTATTATTTTAATAGTTTAAATTACAAAGTCTAAATTGCAAAATTACAAATTCTATTTTTTATTAATAAAAACCAAATAAAGAATTGAAGTACATTTAATATCGATAATTAAATGTTTTTTTAAAAATAAATATTTGAAGCGTAAATCGATAATAAGAACTTATGTTGAATTAATTTCAAATTGACTTTATTTTATCTAATATTAGAAATAGAAAAACCGTGTGCGATGAGAAACTTGTTCAACTTTTATCTAAATATCGATTCTGTGAATATAACGAAGACACTGAAGTTATATAAGAAAGTGATTAATAAGTAAATGAAACAAAAAAAAAACTGAGGAAATAAGAATTTTATTCTTTTTAAAAGTCTCGTATTGCCTTTTTATAAACCTTGTAGATGACTCAAGTTAATAAAAAACTTTTATGTGCGCAGCACTGTGTGTAATACATTTAATTTTATCGATCATTGTACATTTACGGAGAAATATTTCCATTATCTAAATTAAAGAAAAAATTGATCCTTAGTTGTTGCATATAAAAATGCATTACACACACGCACATCTATTCCTTTCACCAGATCGCACTTTGCACCACATACAAAGCGCGCAAAAAAAACAAACATGCTAGTATTGTTCTACATAAAGAATTTCATTATCTTTGATCATTTCAATGACAACCCCCCCCCCCCCCAAAAAAAAAAAAAAAAATTCTCGCCGTTTAACACGTTCATCAAATTTGAATCCATTAATAAAAAAAGATGGAATATATGTAAAAGAAAATTAGTTTTTCACGCGATATTTATATGATTCTCGACAGATTATGTTTTGATATAAATAAATGATGTGAATTAATATAGCTGTTTCGTGTGTGTGTGTTTTCTACATACTTAATGGGTACATTTTAATTGATTTTGTAAATCTTCCCAAAAAGTTGAGGCGATTTTAATCGATCCAAAACTTATCGTTAGATTCACTTTTTATTAAAGCAAGAAAAATATTTAGACTAAAATATTTGAGAGCATCAAGCGGAGTATATCTCCAGCAAGAAATTATGTTTTAACAGCTAAGTGATAATTTTTAAGGAAGCATCCTTAGCTCCAGACAATTCATCCGCATCTGTCAATGAGATGCGTCTTTTAAACTGCCGCTATTAATACCGAGTATCGACAACGTTAGCACTCACTTTTCGTGTTGCATTCCGACTTTTGCCAAGCTCGTGAGATTTTTCTTAACCAAAACATTGTTCCGAACGACGACCGCGCAACTAGTTTCTCGACCTGATCGTGGTACTATCGTGACACTTGCAGCTCAAAACCGAACACGGTGTATTCGTTGATGATCATTCACCGCTACTGACTACTTGCATCTGACCAGTACTGACCAGCGGACGTTTCACGACTCGCCAGTAAAGGCCCGCGGACGACGAACGCGTCCCTGCCCGTCGCCCCGGCGCCTCCAGTTTCCTTTGTTTACGTTGCGAGAGTAGGGTAGGGATGCCTGGAGGTAGTATACCGAGGTTGTTGTTATGCTCTCGATATCCATCTTTTCGGCATCGATATCTCTTTCGTGACTACATAGTAATCGAATTTTTTTTTTCAATATCTTTATCCTTTTATTAAAACAACGGCATTTTGCTATAAACACCGAAAGAATCCACACATTTTTATACTTCGTATTTAAGGAAGAACTGGACACATCAGATACGTCAAAAGTTAATAAAATCTAATACATTTCAAGATTCATGAATTTGACATTTCGCATGCACACACGCACACATGCACAAAGCACTTTTAGCCTTTTAAAATATAAAAATAATTAATTTTGTGAGTTAAAGTCAAGATTGCTCCATATAATTAGAATTTTTATTTTCATGATTTTTGTGTACAGTCACTATAAAAAAGTTAGTTCGATGCAAGATAATATTTACAATTTTGAGATTAAATTATATTTTACATGGCAAATTTTTTTCTTTAACTCATAAATTAATTACTAATTTTACATTTTAAAAGGCTAAACATGCTTTGCGTAATGTCAAATTCATGAATTTCGAAATGTATTAGATTTATTCATTTTTGACGTAGTTGATCCGTGCAGTTCCTCCTTAATAGGCTTGAAATGTCTGTCTAATGCTGACATTTCAGTTTTATTTCTGTCAAAAATGGCATATAATGTCATGTCAATCATCTCTAAGAATCAACTACATTTTATGCTAAATATATGGGATATGAATGGACTTAGATATATATTTTTGATATCGATACACTTTATATTCTCGATAAATAGCAATAATGAACCTTGGACTAGATTTCAACATAAATTCAAATACTTCCACTAGCAACAAACGTAAATGATATTATGCTTTCAATGCTAAATATTTTCGGCATAGCTCTTTCTTGATATTGGGGAAAGTAGGGTATATACATACATAGTAGAGCTACTTAACTTTATGACCTAAATTACCTCTGTTATGCATGCAGTTACCGCGAAAAATGTTTTCAACAAGTTTTCTAATATTATAGTTGTAGGACAAAGATATGATGAATTTAATTTTTTATAGCATGCTTTTTTATTGAAAACATTTTTCGATAACTGTATGTATAACAAAGATAATTTAGGTCATAAAGTTCCATCCTATATACATGTATATTGTATATAGGACAGAATAGACAATTGAACATCGCCGCGCTGAATAAAGACAATGACATTTAATAAGTCTGCAAAAATTTTGTTGTTTCAAAATTACTTAAAAAAAATAATTTTATCAAAAATAATACAAATAATGCAAAGTATGTATGTATATCAAGTAATATCTATACACATAATGTTTCATATTAAATGATTAATAAAAGAAAGAAGAGAAAATATATCAATAATCAATTTAATGAAAAAATTTTGAAGCGTATTAAAAGATATCGCGAAATGTTGAGAGCGCTCTACTTAAATTAAAACAAGTCGTCAATAACAATGCGTTTGTAGCTCAAATATTATTTCGAAACAAATATCGCCATGTAGAAGAGTTAATTGACGTATCCCAATGTGACACAATATTGTAATTGCACGTGACAATATACGTGATAAATGCATTGGATGAATAAACGTATTGTTGGCTGCTGCCTTTGTGAATCATCACCTTCACCTTGTCTCTTATCTCGAACAGAGTGAAAATATGTATTATATATTTCTATCACGGATCATTTCGTGATAACTATTCGTGATCTGTCACAGTAAGATGAAATGCGATACAATCTCATACGTAGATAGCACATAATGATCCTCACGTCAATATCAGTGGATTCGATTTTGCGCCCACTAGCAACACGTGTGTTCGGTATAAATAGTAAATAGCCGAATCAAAAAGTAAGAAGAAAAATACATATGTGTAAGTTACTCTTATATTTAATACAAGTGAGCATTTATTACGAAAAAATAGAGTATATAATCATAAAATAAATAAGAAATTCTCTCTTTCCATAATTTATTTATTTAATTCTAATATTATATAAAAAAATTAATGCAATAAATCCAATGTGAGAGATCCATTAATAGCTTTCATTTTTCATCGTTTATTTTCATAATTATTTAATTTTCAACATGGTGACAAATGCAATCCATTAAGTAATTATTATGTATGACTGATTGCTTGGTCATTACAGTTATAACTCTTTTATGAATGTTTTGCTAGGAGAAAAAGTATCTGAGCTCATATTAAAGCTACTTATGTTAAGCAATATTTTTAGTTTGGAAGAGAAGTGCGTTCATCAGGGACATATTTTTTATACCTCTACAGCTATTCGACTATATAATTATTTACGTCTTATTTTATCACGCAGATAGAAGAATTTAAATGCAATTGTCGTGTATCAAAATTCACCCTATAGTCAATCGGAATAGCTTTGCTCCTCCATGTTTCTCTACAGTTCCTCTTATGTACATTGAGTAAATATGTGGTAAACTGATAGCAACGATATTGATTGCGATGATAAATGTACGAATTGACATATAAATGAGCGTAAATATTTATCACTTTTCGTTAAAAAACTATAGTTATGGAGAATAATTTTAATGCTAGAGATCTATTTTGATTGAAAGAAATAGAAACCGGTTTCTATTAAATTTTGAAGCATTGAGATAAATTATATAAGATATTCTCATTTTCGTAATGTTTAATACAGTTGAATATATTTACTTTTCAAATGTTATGTTGCACATTTAAATAGAATATATCACATCACAATATGTATTTTATATATATATATATATATATATATATATATATATATATATACATTGCGTGATACTACATTTAATTAATACATAAGCAGTGTATGTGTGTGATACAATGTATAGTATCGAAAAGGATAAAATCGATCAAATTATAGGTATAGGTCGATCTAATATAAACAGGTATCAGTATATCAAGAACGAGCTTGAGTAAATCTTGCTGTAATTACTTTCATTTGATAGAATAAAATTGCAAACTAATATTATATTCTTTTTCATGAAATGTAGAAAATTTTTTACCAAATATAGTCAAACAATACTGCACATTTATAAATTTTTTCCCCTCGTAAAATATAAATTGTCGGAATTAAATTCATTCCCGTAGGATAAGCGTCCAAAAACATCTGTGAAATATCGATATTTTGATACCATCACGACATTCCACCTCACCGAAAGGATAGAAACCGGGTCAATCTCTCGATGAAAACAAAAATTTCGTTATTGATCAAATGCGTGTCGGTGTGGACGCTCCGTTTTCCACGCTTTAGGAAGTGCCCTGCATTGTTCTTTGTAAACGAATGTATATCCCGATATAAATAAAGATTCCGCGGGATAAAGCAAGACCGCGCTCTTCGCGGAAAGTTGTTCTTTTTCTCATATCTTCGATTTTTCAGATTTCGCAAAAGAAATTAAAATTTAGCGAGAGAACAATTTTATGCGCGTAAAGCTTGCACCTAATTTTTTTTAACGAAACAAACATTTGGCGTAAAGTGAAATTTATACAGGGAACATTTAGAACTTTATACTGGAGAACGCGCAGAAAATTTGCGTTTCAGCTCATCAATATAAAAAACTTTGATCTTTGTCAGGAAAAAAAATGCAACTATAATAGTATTCATGCATCCATAGTAAAACACTCAAAATGGCTCGTTCGCAAAAACACTCGCGCTATCTCGTCATTCCTTTGCCAGCGAAAGTCAAGGCTTAGCGAAGGTTATCCGACAGGAAGACGTTCTTCCTGGTACGATTGAAGCAGCAGAAAAGGCACTGTTTTTCGTATATCGATATCATAGACTTCGCGGTAAATGGATGAACGTCCTCCAATTGTAAGCGTAAACATAATATCTACGTAATATCGACTTCCTTCTGTCGGCCGTTGATCAACGACCGTATCATCGATGCAAGGAATACGTATAATCGTGAATAGTACAGCAAGCAGCGAAGAGATTTGTCATGCATGCATATCTTATGCGATTGTGCATGATTTTTCTACCTTTATACTGCCGCTGTACCTCCATTGTCGCACACACGGCGGCAGTACGTCAAACGTCAAACTGGAAAACTGCGCAGCGCTCGGCGACGTAGAGCAAGCGCGACGAGGTGCGCGCGGATGGTCGATAGCACCGACGGCGACGATGACGACGGCGATGACGCGAACCAGATGCTGAGAATGGCAAGTGCGCCGCTGCGTCCCATAGTCCCATGGCATCGACGCTCAGCACACGGCGTGTCTTTCTCATTCTCCTTCTCTCTTTCTCTCTTCTGATACATGGAAAGAAATTGGTATATTCATTTCTCGGTACACATAAAACATATAATGTAACAATACACACATTCAAAAAACGTGTGTCTTGAAACACATGACATATATGTAATAAATAATTGTTTTTATTGATACTATTTATACTTTCATGTAAATATAAAACGATTTAATTTTTAAGAAACTGTATATATATATGTAGTTTAAAATTCTTTTATTTTAATTTAATAACTTATCAGCAATTATTTGTTATATATATATACAGGGTGTACCGTAAAGACCGGATCAACGTTTAAGAGTAATTAAATTTTTGAGATCATTTGGAGACGATTTTTCCTCAGCGAAAATGTTGAGAGAGGTCATCATTTTTTGCAAGTTTCCAATTTTTTCCATCATATATCTTTGTAACTAAGCCTTAAATTAAAATTCTCTCTCTCTATTAAAGTAAACTAATATATACTATATCTGAAATGAACTAAAGAATATGATTTTAACTCTCTATAAAGTTTAGTTTGTAAAAAGCCCTTCTTTTTAAATCGCTTATAACACGGAAATTATTGATGCCTCGATATTTTTGTTGAGGAAAAATCATCTTAAAATGATCTCAAAAATTTACCCTTAAGCATTGATCCAGTCTTTATGGTACATCCTGTATATATGTGTTTTATTTTACTAGATGTGACTTATTGTTAATTATAATATCTAATAAAGGTATTATTATCAATTTATTATATTGTATCCAAGTTTATGCTTTCTCTCAATTTTTTGACTTCAAAAGAAGTTGAATACATTAAATACTCCGATAAAATCGAATCGAATAATAAAATTTATGTCATCGTCGAGATATAATTGTAACTGCTGAGTAAAAAAAAAAAAAAAAAAGATAAAGAGGGTTTCTGTCCTGCAACTTTTATCTATCATCGTTAATTCACCGTTAACTCGTTATCCGTAATGACGGCATTCGCCACGACGTGGCGCGCGAAACGGCAAGCTCCAACTATTTCCGGCTGTGAAAATATGGCACGGCGATAATAACACACAAAAAGTCGATCTCTCGTCACGGATTTATGTAGAATTTTATCGGCAATCGTGTATCCGTAAACTGTCTTGCCGGAGTATGTGCGTTTGACGCGCGTTTCTTTGCAGCGTTGGAAAATTGCGAACGGTGACGGAGCGACCTAAATATGAGCAACGACATATTACCCTCCTGACAATTTGAGCAACGCCAGATAAAAGGTACAATGTAAATTAGTTGTTTGATGCGTACTCGTTCTCTCGTCCCTGATCGAACAGCTGAGACCGATCGCAATTTTGACTCTTCTCGAATATGTCATGGGATGCGCGCTCGCGTTTTCTTCACGTGCGTCCCCGTATCGCGCTTACGTCACTCTGCTACGTGTTCAACAAGCAAAATCGAGGATATCTGTTTGGATATACTTAACAGTTATTCGATTTCAATGCACGAGGATTTTGAAACTTGCATACCTGCGATTATCTTCGATTATCATTTGCTACGATCGCAAAAATTTTGCATCTTATATTTAGGAATGATATAATTTGACAATGGCTTACAATGATAATCTTAAAAATTTACATTGTTTTATGTTTAGATTGTTAATATCCGATTATTTGAGTCTTGAGTTTAACAAAGTTAATATGTATATTTGTATAGCAGTTTACGTTGAACTACTATAATTTTATAATATTTCTTCATTTTTTTCTATATAATATACCACATTGTCTGGCTTTATTTCTGAAAATTTAAAATAAATGCATCAAAACATTATTTTTTATCACCTTTGTATCATTTTCATGTTTGTAGAAATTATTAATACATGTTTATTACTGAAAGTAGTAACTGTACAATTGATCAAAGATTTAATAATATCCATTATTCATGTACAACACACAGATAACAAAAAATTGAGATCTCTTATTTGCCAGTTTCTCTAATTAGTATTGTTAGTACTCTGAGCCTATTGCTATTATTATCAAAAATTAGGAATGGTTTCTTTAATTTATATACAAAGTGTCTTCCAGTATAAGCATAACCAATTCCTTATTTCCTAAATCAGAAAAGAAGTATAAATTGTAACAAATAAGACAAAAATTCAAATTGTGTTGAAATGAACTATGAGCATAGCGTATCATGAAAGCTGTCTGAATTATTTAAATTGAAAGGCACTTTTTTTTCTTTTTTTTTTCCTTTTTTTTTTGTTAATAATGGTAGATATATTTTACAAGGTTTACAAGGTTTTGGTGTTGATAAGGTATGATTTAATGGAATTTATTCATGATATGCGTACGAGTTTTATCAGTTTCAAATTTTACATACTTGTTGACTGTTGAAATTTTGTCAACATATTGAATTTTTTGTATAGAGTCTTACAAATTGCAATTAACTTTTTCTGTGAAATAATTAGAGGCTAATAAAAATAAATGATTAAAAAACACTAGATTAATTAAAAAGATGAATTGTTTAAAATAATAAGTTTGCGAATTTATGTAATAGTGAAGATATAGTGAAGATATAGTATAAGAAAAATAAAAGGAGATGTGTAACCACTTATATAGATATAAATGGTGCTCATATAATATCTGAATCAACAATGTTTATGTTGCAAAAAATGGGATGCAAGATTTTTAATTTTCTGTGAAATAATTAGAGGCTAATAAAAATAAATGATTAAAAAACACTAGATTAATTAAAAAGATGAATTGTTTAAAATAATAAGTTTGCGAATTTATGTAATAGTGAAGATATAGTATAAGAAAAATAAAAGGAAATGTGTAACCACTTATATAGATATAAGTGGTGCTCTATAAAAGTAATGTATTTTGAGATTTCTCTTTTGAAATATAATTTTGTAAAAGATTAAGCAAAAGAGAAAAAAATATATATATTTTCTCTTGTTTGATTATATATAAGTATATTTCTTATTTTTGTGTTAAAAAGGAATATGCACGAAGATTATCAAAGATCAAATCCAGAGCCAAACTGTCACGTCATAATAAAGAAGGAGCTTCATCATCTAAAGACACAGTGCATTCACATAAGACTGAATCTGCAGTGAAGGATACAACAGATGATACAATCGATGATATAAGTCAAGCAAAAACCCCAAAGGCAAAATCTTCTTTACTTCAACGAAAATTGGCGGAAAATAGAAAAGTGTTCGAGCAACGTAATAAGGAACTAACGGAAACAAAACGAGTAATGGAAGAGAAAGTGGAAGCTATTAGGCAACAATTGGACGAAACAGATTTAGCAGCAGCGGAAATACACAAGGATCAATTGGCTGTTACACCAATTAGACCTTTTATGATCACTTCAGATGTAAGTTTTACAATAGTTCTTTAAACATATATTTTTTATCTCTAACAATATGTAATCTATCACTCTATAATTATTATTATATGTATAATAAAAAGAAGAATTATTACTATTTGGAAAATAATATCTAAAAAAAAATTAATAAAAGTATAATATATATAAAGTTTATATATTCATGCTTTAATTTAAGGTGATGACATCAGTTCAAATTCAGGACATTCAAGAAAAAGAGAAAAAGATTATGGATTTGAATAGCAAAATTGTTGAATTGGAAGCTACCATTCTGGACCTTCAAGAAAATTTAAAGGAGAAGGATTCTGTGATTGATTCCAAAACGAAGGCGGTGACTCTCATGTCTGCGGATCTTTCTAGGAAGGGTAAAACGACATTGGACACTCTCGAAGATACAAAAGACGAAATGCGAACAATGCAGGAAAATTTTATCCTGATAGAAACTTCTTTGAAAGATAAGAATAACAGTCTGCTGAAACAATTGCAAGAAAGAGATAATAAAATATCGGACATGGAACATACAATCAATAGGTAATATATTTCAATAATGCATACATTATGCATTAGGAAATTAAGTAACTAAGTAACATTTATTTCAAATTAAATGAAGAAACTATTTTGATGATTGGATAGTAGAAATTTAAATTGTTTTGTATATATACGCTATTAAGCAAAATTATAAAGAAAATATTGTATAATTTCTTATTAGCTAATACAATTTGATTATATATTGACATATATTAAGATATAAATTGTTAAATATTATTACCTTATATCATGATAAATATTTCTTTTATTTAAAGTTGTCTTAAAATATTTTAGATTTTTCGAATTATTTATTTTTTATATTTAGATTTGAAGAGCAACTTAAAGAACAGAAAATAGCTGAATCAGTAAGTGCGGATTTCTCGCGTTCCACTATGGACACTTTAGCAGAAACTAAAGACGCGATGAAGTCGATGCAGGAAAATTTCGTTCTCATTGAATCCTCATTGAAGTTGAAGAACGATAATCTTCTTCAGCAATTGGGGGAGTATGAAGTGAAATTGGTGAAAGCCAAAGAAAGAATTTTTCAATTAGAATCGGACGCCGGTATAGTGACAACACCGGCAGTCGAGGATCTACAATTTAGAATAGAGAAATTAGTGCAGAATAATCGACAGCTTCTCGATGAAAAGTACGAATTGCAAAAAAATGTGGCCGAGTTGCAGGATAAGATTATTGCTAAGAAATCAGTTCAAAGTAATGGCGCAATTATCGAAAAAGATAATAGAATAGCAGAGCTTGAAAATTTAATAGAAGAACTTAAACAATCGAACGAATTGCTGAAAGAAGAATCGAAGACAGAGTTGCAGAAACAAATGACTGAATTGTCATCTAAAAACGAAGAATATTCCAACAAGATTATCGACCTCGAGAAGCAAGTGCATGAATTCGAAGCGGAGAACAACATGATGGCAAAATTGTCAGTCGAACGAACGATACCTAAGGAAGATGATATAGTGATAAAATTGACAAAAGAATTGGAGGATTTAAATAAAGGCATGATTAAATTAAAGGCCCAACACAGAAGTAAAGTGAAAAATCTGCAGAAACAACTGGAGGACTTCAAAATGGTGAGAGTGTTACAATATTTCTATTTCTAGATTTTGTATAATGGTAAAGAGAAAAAAAAATTATTGATATAATTATTAAAAATTATAATTATATTAAGAAATAACATAATTTATATATATATTTTTACTTTATATGCATTTTATACATAATTTTATAATTTATCAATAATTTTATTGAACATTTAATAGAAATGCGATTGTTCAGTTTTCTCTGTTGGGATTTATATTAATCAATTAAGATAGACACGCCTGCAGATTTTTATATTTATGAAAATACGAATATGTGCGTTGTGTACAGGTATCCGATACAAATGCGGAACTTGTTAGATTGGGCAATCAAGTGGCATTATTGGAGGAAGAGAAAGGTAACCTTCAGCTGAGTCTGGTAGACTTTGACGAGCTTAAAGGTAGGAACCAGGACAAACGTTCTATCGCCGACATTTTCGTTGTCCTAGTTATATTATCGGATTTCCAATGCGATTTGTGTTAATATTTTTTATCGAGACAGCCTGTTTTCCACAGCCCTGTTTCCTTTATGAATAGCATTTATCCTAATCGCTGTAATTACGTGTACATATCTTTTGCAACAAAATGACATATGAATAAGCTGTAGTGATAATTCATATCAACTTTATTATGAACGTGGTCGCGATTATAGAAATGTGAAATATCACATAGCAAATTTTATTTGCAAGTACTTAAAAAAACTGTACCTGGAAAACTTGGAAAATATTTTTTGAGGCTGATTTCTGGTGATGGAATCTTTTCTCTTGTGGCTAGTAGTTTTGTATGTTGCAATTATTGAAACGTTCACAGAGAATACTAATCAATGAAATTTTTTTGTGAATATTTCTTGATAATTAAACATAACATGGTACCTACTTTACTTGTCAAAGTTTGCTGCATATTTATCCATAGAAGTAGATTTATTCTTAGTATCTATTTATCATACCTACATTTTTTAATTATTTTTACGAATAATAGATTAATTTGCATGATTGGCATTAATTATATCGAGTTTCTTTCTTCAGCTTATTTATAATTGCAATATCCGCTTTTAATGAAATAAACAAAAATCGAGAAAAACTTTGCGCATATGATTAATTTTTGATTGACATATATGATGCTAACAATTAAATACCCAATAAAGTAAATTAAATAAATCTTGGCTTTCCAAAGTGCTTGAGGCTTTAAATGAACAAAAAGAAGGAATGTTTTTTAAATAGAAGAAAATTATTTTAGGAAAAGATATATATGCCATCAGCAGATTTACGATTTTGAATAAATATAGAAAAAATATATTTTTTTAACAAAATGTATATTAATATGTATATAATTGTGTAATATTATTATACGCCTATATATAT